CCCAGCGCATAGGTGTCCATCTGCCTCCACTGAAGCCCTACTCCCCTTCCCCAAAACTAGGCATGATGGTACCGAAGACCGTCAATGATTTCGGTAGGGTGGAGAGCATGACTGGATGTACAAGAGGGGATCACACGCAGGGGGTTTTACCCAGATTCAGCCCCCCATGGTTGATATAATACCCTACTCCTTTTCTTTTTATTAACAGTGAAAATCCGTAGTGTGAGGGGCTTATAGATGGATGCCATAATGAGTGGTCTCGACTAAAAGTCAGATGTCCCACGATCTACCCTTGCTCTCGCCTTATAAAGGGGGATGAGAGCTAGGTTTTACAGGTTTCCTAGTTGGCCTCCCTCTAAGTCGGTCAAGGAGACCACGGCTTACAAGGCCAAGATGGTAATTATACGGAAGTCGGGCTTACTCTCGAATCAAGGTCCCTTGCCTGTCGCCTGGCACCCTAAACCCAGAGCCCGACCCATTGATTGGCCTGCCGGCCGATGGGCCACCCCTGATACTATGCACCATTAGTACCCCCCGATCATGCCTGATGTTTTGAAATGGACTTGTCGTCTGGCTTCCTGCCCTGAGCCCGACCCAATGATGGGCCGCCCGGCCGATGGGGCCATCCTTGGTAAAGTACACTGCCAGTAACCCCTGAGGGAGCTCTAATCCGCCGCCCCACGCAGCAACCTACCACCACCTCACGTCCAGGCCCGCCGTCCATGGAGCAACCCATCGAGGAAGCCGACGTGCGCCCCAATAGGCGAGGAGGGAAGTTCAGGTCACCTAGAGCTGCCACATTTTCCTTCACGCCTCAGGCACGCCTAGACCCGAGAAACGTGTCGCCCTTGCAAGGTGCAGAGCGATCTGTCGAGCCGGCCACCACGCACCCCGCTGCCACTTGCCGAAGCACTTGCACGACGAGACACCGCCAGCCATCGCATGGATCCGTCGCTATCAGCTCCAGAGACACCGCAAAGGAAGGCCCCCACCGCCATCGTTGATCGCACGGTTTTCGCCCAGCGGCGTCCTTCGGCGACGGTGGGGGAAAAGGGGGATGGGGTGACGAGGTTGCAGACTCTTCGGTTTGGAAGAGGTGTTGATATTTCCATGCAGTCTCGTGTCCTAGCCTCGATATCTCTAGCTAGTGGTCCCTCTTCACAAAATAAACCTCCCAAGTCTTTCTTTTTCATTTAGGTTAATTTTCCTCTTCCCTTTTTTTTGCGGGGTTGGTTAATCTTCCTCTTGTCATCTACACATTTTATCTTCCTCTTGTTTAAATAAAATAAATAAAATATGTAGAGGAAATTAGTACAAGCTAGATCAATTACGGAGACGCGGCGCAGAAGGAAGGCTCCGCGAAATTTCTGCTTGAAGCAACAAAGCGTGAAAAGATGGAGCCAGAATTATTCGAGCAGCGCATGCAGCACTTGGCATGGCTGTGGTCGGACATGTCCGAAACGGAAACCACCTATTTGCAGCAGGAAGAGGACGTCGGATATGGCTCTGGTACATCATGCAGCTACTCTACTCAGCTGGTCCCGCGTCACGTTACCACCTCTTTTTTCTGCATGCAGCTACCAGAAGACTAGCTAGAGTGGAAACCAAATCACTGCCAAGAAAAAAAAGAGTGAAAAGTCGAATCAGGCCCGTGACTAGTAATATAACCAGTGGGATATCGGACATAGTGCAGGTGGATGCCACTCCCTTCAGGGAATGGATCCTCTAACATTATGAAGGGATGTCATGAAACTACAGTGCAATCCCAGTGCAAAACGAAGAAGGGATGTCACAGGCACTGTAGCAAAGATAATGTGCGCAATTACTGTTCATAGAAAATAAAATCCGAAATTAATTTTATTGCACCATAATTTTGTTTGTATGTAATTTTTGTAAATGTATACAGTAGATTTGTAATTTACAAATTAATTCAAGTCACTTTAGACTTAATCATATGGATGTGAAGAAGGGATGTCAGGGTACTGTTGCTTCCCTAACATTCTTTCGTGATGTTAGAGGATCTCGTTACCTCCATCAAACCCACATTGTCCAAAACTGATCAAGGCATAGTTTAAAAAGAACAGTGGAGAGCATAAGCCAGAAGGGGATGGTAGGTGAGACCAAATTATTATCAGGGTTCATGTGAACAGTGTGAGCACTATTTTACTATATAAACAAAGAGTATGGCATAGACACTCATCTATTTTATCTATCTATTATTATGTATTAATGGTAGATCACAGGTTAACTAGTGCAGAGAGAGAATCTAGAAACTCTGACAAAGTACATTTGGTCTTTTAATTTGCTCGTCCTCTATTATTAGCTATGTTTATCAATCGGGGTTTTTTATCATCATCTACCAGAAAATCCGCTTACGCCGACGGCCTCATCTATGCCGGCGGCCCCCGTCGGCATAGATAGACCTATACCGACGGCCTAGGGCAGGCGCCGTCGGCATATGTCTATCTGTTCTGACGGGGCCGTCGGCATAGATGAGGCCGTCGGGACTGCTCGAGATACGCCTACGGGGCCCGTTGGCATAGCCCGGGCTCACCTACCCGGTCAGCGACGACCGTTTGACGGCGTCGAAACTACGCCGACGGGAGGTAGCGGGGGCCGTCGGCATAGAATTGCTGACATCACCGATCCGCGTCGTCAACATGTCATCGATCTAAGGGAGTGGGGGGCCCGTTGTGTGGCAGAGCTATGCCTATGGCATAGCCATCGGCATAGACCTGGCCCATGCCCCTCTGCCATGTCATCGATCTGCATGTGATGCCACGTCATCGATCAGTGGGATTGTACCTTTGTGTGCGCACCTATGCCGACGACCTTGCCGTCGACATATAATTTTTTTTACTTTATATTATTTTTTGTTTTTCCACAAGATAAATATACCTTATCTAAAAAAAACATATGCCGATGGTATATCGATTGCCCCCCTTATGAAGGTCACTGTCGCCGTGTCACGGAGGGGGAAACGGTCGACACGGAGGGAATCCGGTTAGTGTTGGGATTCGGGGTGTAGCTATGGCACCGAAACATCGCACGGGTCCCGATGCAAATGTGAAAGTGTTCAGGCATGCGTAGAAGCCCGTCTTGGGGCTCCGCGGTGTGGCCCCCCTCTACGCAAGGCAGTGTCGCCGTCACTTGG